GGTAATGCGGTTGAAATTCCTTAAATTCTCGCCGGCCACCATCCTAATCAGAGCCCTAAGTTTTTTTTTTTCTTCGATTCTGCCGGTTGACCCCGATTAGGCTCCGTACTTGAATCCACCTCTGGTGTTGAATCATCTAAGACTCCGGTGCCCGTCTCGAAGCATTCTTGACCCAGAACTCCATCGCCTCTGCCGCTTCTTCTCCGGTGCTTTGACTGTGCCCGCTTCCAGGTAATGCCCTATGTTACTCCCTACTTAATTAATAATGCAAACACTCCAGTGAGTGAGTTATCAATACTGTACGTATTCTTGCAATGTTTGGGTCGGAAACTTGAAAAAAGCTTTATTAATAAGTTAACTGATTCATATGTGCTTATTTTTGAATGAGGAATGATCAATCTTTGTGCATGAATGATGTTCTAAAAGCTAATAAATTTAGTAAAGTTTCTTATAACAAAAGGAAAAGATCAAATAAAATTCAAGAACTTAAGGGAAAGGGAAAGGGAAATAAGGAATGAAAATTTCACACAATATTTAAGAAATAATCTCAGTAAAGATTGAATTTTGTCTTAGTATTGGTAGAGAGTATTCTACCCAAAATTGGCAAAAACTTTCATGCGGCTTCTCAGTCCACAAAGAGAATCTGATAAATACTACTTTTGGAAAACAGAAATCAATAGTACCTCTTCCAACAATGATAAACAAACAACAAACGAAATCTCTTTTTAATTTAGATGCAAAATCATATATAGAAATAATATCAAAAGTTTCATTCTAAACAATATTAAGATTATGATTGTATTAAGATTATTGCTAAATAATGCTTCACAGAAGTTTCATTCTGTTTCCTTTTGATAAATCTGGTTCTGTTTTAGGGTTATTCCCTTTTGATAATATGCCTTAGCTCTGAATTGCCTTCACTGTTTCCCTGCTTCCTTGATGTGTATCTGGCAATTTGATTTTAATTTTAATCCACCAATTCTATTTAGGGTTCTGTTTAGGCTGTAAATTTGGTGCTGTTTATGCTGAGAAATGCATCCTGATTGAACTGCATTTTGGTTATGTGATGCATTCTGGGGTTTTTTTTTAACTGCATTCTGGTTCTTTTTTTACAATGCATTCTCGCAATGTTTTTTAAACTGCATTCTGGTTCAGTTTTTTCGAAAAATATTCTGGTTCTTTGGTTTTTGTTTTTTAACAGAAATATGGTTAGTTCCTCTTCGTCGCAAGCCCAAAAATTCACAAATAAGGGTCCGATCGAGCCCAAACTTCTTTACCTTCAGGGTGTTCATCGATCTGATACCGTTTGGAACAGTGAGCTGAAATTCATTACTAAACACCATAAGTGTCGCCGAACTGATAATCTACTTTGGGAGTTATACGCAATGAGCAATGACACAGTTAAATGTTACGTGTCTCAAATGGGTTTTGGATACTTCCTCGAGACGGGTCTCATCCGATTAGACAACTCTCCTGTGACAGCCTTGGTTGAAACATGGCGGCCGGAAACTCATACATTTCACTTCCCAATGGGGGAAGCAACAATTCCGCTCCAAGATGTCGAAGTTTTTTTGGGACTGAGAATTGATGGAAAACCTGTAACTGGCCAAGATTCGCCACCAGCTAGTTGGGTCCCAATGTGCAAGGAGCTTTTGGGCTTTATACCCAAATTGAAAAAAAACGCCAACCAACTTATAATCTCTTCGCTGCAAGATGAGTGTAAGCGACAACTTCCAGCAGATGCCTCAGATGATGCCTGCCAGAGAAGGGCTCGGGTTTTTGTTTTGTGGGCAATTGGAGGTTCACTATTTCTGGACTCAACGGGCAACACTGTGACTTTGCTTTATTTGCCCTTACTGAAGGATTTTAAGTCTTGTAGAAAGCTAAGTTGGGGGAGGGCATGTCTTGCGGTGTTGTATAATAGTCTTTGTAAAGCATCAAAAAGGACAAAATGGGATATAGGTGGATGCCTAATTCTTTTGCAGGTATAACTCGATTTTGAATTGTATTTATTTTATATTTTCCTTTTATTTATAATTTGTGTTCCTTTTAACCTAACATGTGTTACATTTACAGATTTGGGCATATGAGCGAATCCCAAGGATACGCCCCAGGAGGAAAAACCCGGAAGACGACGATAATAAATTGGCGTTAGGTTCAAAGTGGAGGTGTTCATTGGATTTTTCACTGGTGGCCTCCCACTATCTCCCAGCACACCGAGATCAACTCGCGAGCCTTAGGAAGGCTGAAGATGTAAGAGTTTCTATGTCTACATTTGATTAATTTTTTGATAATTTTATAGAATATTCTGTCATTTTTAATTTTATTATATAAGCTGGATTTTTTTTTTTAATTTATTGCTGAAAGCTTATGTATTGTTTAGGTTTAGGTTCTGTTTAGGTTTTGTTTAGGTTTCGTTTAGGTTCTATTTTTAGGTTCTAAATAAATTAGTTGTATACCTTGATTCTTTAGGTTCTGTTTAAGTTTTGTTTAGGATCCTTTTAGGTTCTATTTTTAGGTTCTAAACTAGTTGTAAACCCTGATTTTTTAGATTCTGTTTTTTTTTAGTTTATATTCTGATTTTTAATACTTTTAATACATTCTAGTCCTATTTTTTTACTTATATAATCTGGTCTTTTTGCTTTTTTGCTGAAAGCTTTTGTTAACAAATATTGAGTTTAATTCCTTTTGTATTCGGTTCTATTTTGCTTTTTTTTTTATTTATTATGTTTTGTTTTTGCATTTCAGTTTATTTGGCAACCTTATGAAGGAGTGGAGATACCTGAAAGATATACACTGGGTCGGGATCATTGGCGATCGAACACTTAGTTAATTTGCTGGGAGATCGTTGAACCGCATCAAGTTGACCGTGTGATGTGACAATTTGGCTTGAAACAGTCGATTTCACCACAACCAATGATTGCTGGTTTCGAAGTATGCAAAAAGTTGAACCGGCATGGTAGGACTGGAATGCCTGGGGCTAACTGGGAGCATCATCATCGTGAATACATCGCCAAATGGGACAAAGGGGCGGACACCATTGTGGCTGGATCTCCAGTTAGTGGTCAATCCTCAACCGATGAAGATTATCTCCCGTGGTATGACACCAATACCATCAAATTTATCAAGGATTCCAATAAGTACAACTTTCAGGAGGAAGGGTATCGTGAGCATTCGGATCGCGCAAAATTCTATGTAAGTATTCTTCTTTTAGGGTTTTGGTTCTGTTTTTTTATTTTTGGTTTATTTTATGAATTTTCATACTTTTTAGCCTTTTGGTTCTGTTTTTTAGTTTATATTCTGAATTTTCATGCTTGCATTAGGTTCTATTTTTTTGAACTGCATTCTGGTTACTAAATGCAGCATGCTAGTTGCTTCCTTAGTTTAATGCATTCTTTTTTTTTTTGTTTTTTAATGGTTAAATTGATTCTATGCTGATGCTTTGAACGGCGTCTGCACAAAGGTAGAAGACTACCAGAAATCAAAAGAGAGGTGCCAAAATTAAGTTTGTATGGATCTCCTTCTTGAACTCGCTGCTCATACTATGAGTGATTTATCACTTGGAGCACATGAGTTGCTAATTTTGAAATCCACCCAATCGCTTGTTCATAGTCAACCACAACCTTCTCAACCGGTTGGCAAAGTTCGCAAGCAAAACATTCCTCACCGTGGGATTGGAGGAGGCAGGAAGAAAATCGTGGAAGAAGAAGAAGAAGAAGAAAAATATGATTTTGAACTCAATGCCGATTTGTTTCAAACTCCAACCCCCCAAAATGAAGCCGAAGCCAACCAAGGAGGTGAACCTACAAGTATGGATGTGAATGTTACACCGCCATTGAAGCAAACTACTCTACCTTTGGCATTAGGAAGGGCGCGTAGAAAGATAAAGAAAGTCGGCCGCTACACGCTATCCACGGCCCAAGCCAAGCCACCCCTAGAGGAGGAATAATTCTTCATTTTGTTATTTACCTCTTTTGATGAATGTTGGAACTTTTGTTGATGTAGTTTTTTATTTAAATTTGTTACAATTACAATATTTTGTTCAATCGATGTGTAAGTTTAGGGTTTATGTTGATGCTGCTGTCTTGGTGTTGTTTGCCTTCTGGTTTGTATTATGTTGATGCTGCTGTTTAGGGTTTAGGCCAATTCCCTTTTTTTTTTATATCTACTGTCTTAAAAACGGAAATTAGACGTCCATTTTTAATTTTCTATTAATTTTAAACAAAAACGGATTTTGATTTTCCGTTTTTTATTTTCGAAAAATATTTACTTCATGAAATTTTTCCCATTTCCTTAAACAAAAATTTACAAAAACAAAAACGGAAATGTTTAATCCGTTTTTATTTATCAAAGTAATTATCAAATCCTAATTACATCTAATCCTAAAGAGACAGATTTCGCAAATCCGTTTTATGAACAGTTCATAGAAAAACGAAAATTCCTTTTCTAGCATATATTTTTTCTGACCACTCCCAGATTTGTGCTTATTTCAGTCCACTACTTCTTTCCTGGACATATTTAGGTATGATTCAAATTTTGTAACTTATCAAGGAGGGTGAGTGATAATAGGAACTTCGCATCATAAAAGAATCTCAAACCAAATTATTTGTACAAAATATAACTAATGCCATACTGCCCAATACTTTTCGCGTTACAATTGGGCAGCTTTGAGGATTTTTGCTCCAAGCTATCCATGTTGATTTAGAAGTTAACCAATTTACTGAGTTGGCAAGGAAAATTCCCAAAATTATGAAGTACTAGACCTTTTCATGGGCTTATCATCCAAAATGTGAAACTCAGAACCATACCTGGAATGGCCCAGATACGAAATCTAAAAATCCAAAATCGCAAATCATTGACAAATGGATACCATTCGGTTTCTCCTCTCCTTATCCAAAAAGTCACCCCATGAAGAATCAAGAAAAGAACAACAGGAAAAAAAAAAAAAAATTGTGGCAGAATCAGATCAGAAGAAGCAGAGCACGATTTGAACAAAAGAAATGTGGCCAAATCAGACATTAAAGCAGTCCTCAATCCAACCACCATTATTATCACCTCCTTCACAAGTCCAATGCACAGCCATCAAACCATGCCTCAAAGTTTCTCGCAGGAACCTCGCAATCTGCACCAACTCATCTTTACTTCTACTCTTGGGCTCTCAGATGCTGCTGGAGCCATTGCAGCACTCAAGGGCCAGAGCTGAGGAAGATGTTCCCCAAAATGCAGAGCAAATTGGCCCAGAAGAAGAGGGTTCGGATTCGAAGAAACCCGTGGATGTATGCGGAGATCAGACTGTGACTCAAAGGGCATTTCTTGATGTATCCATTGATGGAGTTCCAGTTGGGAGAATTGTGATTGGGCTGTATGGTGACAAAGTTCCATTTGGTGCTGCCAGGCTTAGTGATCTAATAAGTGGAGCAGCAGGGATTAGCTACAGGAGAAAGGAATTTGTTAAGATCACACCTAATTATGTTCAACATGGTGGAGTCAGATCTTATGGGGTGGATGCGGAGCTAGCAAGGGAGGCAGGAAGGAATTTAGCAGCTGATAGACTCATGGGTGAATGGGAGAAACAGTATGAGAATTGTCCAGGAACCAAGAATGTGGCACAAAGTATTGGAATTGTTGTGAGGGATCCATCAAAACCACCTCCCAAGTTGAAATTAGTTGCAAGAAAAGGGAAGCTTGAGGTTGATCAAGAAGAGGTAGGAAAAGATCCGAATGGAACAGAGTTTGTCATTTCTCTGAAAGATTCACCTGAACTGGATTCCTCCACTTTGGTGGTTGGAAAAGTGTTGGAAGGATCCGAAGTTGTCGAAAAGATCGGTCAGGTGAAGACTGTGCAAGAAAACACCAGTTCTCCATATTTCAGGTAACTGATGTTTCTCTAGTTTTGTTCCGAAACTCATTCCTAGCCTCTTTCTGAAGGAACCATGAAATATATTTTGTGGCTTTTCCTTCTACAGGGTAGCAAAGTTGATAGGAGATAAAAGGGCTGTTGTGGCAGAGAGAGGCTTTAACAGACCATACTCCAAAGTGTTGATTACCAATTGTGGGCTAATCAAAGACTGAAGTTGTTTTCTGATCTTACTGGTCAAATACTATCATTTTCAGGGAAAATTGTGCTGCCAAATTTTGTTACGCATAGATTCTTCACAAACCAGATTACAAATGTCATCGCAACCTCGAGTTTATGTACGCATGGTAAGTTACACCAGCTATTGCTACTAGGATGACACAACATAACCTATTCATCCGATTCTTTGGCAGAAAATATGCAATTTCAATAAGGCAAGCATCGAGGTGTCATATTTGTTTATGCATATATAAACTTCTTGGCTCTTGCATAACTGACTCTTTAGGGTCACAGTCGCTCTCTCCCAGGGTAGATCCATTCAATGGCAATGCATTGCTATATAGTCAAGAGTAAATTGTTATCTTGCTCGGTTTTGCTTTTTCAATTTTCATGTGGAGAAATGAATAGCTTTCAAATTGATGCAACCAGATAATCCAACTGTATAGAGAAAAAAAATGTAATCTTGTCACCTCATGTAATTACGGTAGTAACTAGTAGGTGTATCAAAAGGTTAAGAAATACAACCAAAAGAAAATTCTCTTAGATAAGGATTACATAGTTCTGACTTCTGAGAGATCTCAAGGAGTACATATGAGAAATCTTAATGGAGGACTTGAAGACAGGACATCAAGACAGTCATCATCCCTCTTGATGTTCTCCGAATTGAATCAATAATAATACCACCTCCTTAGATGAAATATCCATTTATAGCTCAAAGAAATCCCCAGAGTGGAAGGCCCCCAAACAATGAACCAAAACTAACCTAGGGTAACTTTCATTTCAACAACACAGATTAAGCTCCTCATTTATGGCTTATGAGAATGATTCAGAGTTGAAAGTCACAACTCGTTATCATAATTTTAGAGCCAAATCAACACTCCTACGTTACACACGATCTTCAACTGCATTGTGAATAATGATGATTGCGGAAATGTTTATCACTTACCAGTTACCTCAATGAAGAATGGAGCAGTTTCCAGCCAAGTTATTCATTTCAGAAAAGTCTTTTTGCTGTCCGTAAAGCAGTTACTCTGCTTCCATGCTGCAGAATCATGGACAACATGGTACCTGTGGTTTAGCAAACCAAAGTCATGGACTTGAAAATAGCCAACCTTAAAACAGTCGAATTCTAAATTTCCTCAATAGCATTGGGTGGATTGACCATCGATTTCAGACCCACAAAAGCCAAAGCAGAGGAGAAATGTGGACGCTTCTTCCCTCTGTACATCTCAACTCAAATTCACATTCACCGGTCTAAGAAGTAACTACTAGAAAACTGTAAAACTAAAACCATATCCCAACAGCAATATGTCATGTCATCCAAATTATTGTACAACAGAAACTACAAGCAGTGATTGAAAACGTAATTCTCTTAAAGGTACTGTTTTTTAATCAAAACCAAGCAGGATAAAGGCAAAAATAAAATGATTGAAAATAAGAATGGGAAGAATATTGAGTAAAGAGGAAGGAAGAGGATAAACAGAGCATGATTACATTTCAGCCCATACAACCTGGTTCCTTGAATTCAAACCCCCCAAACAAAAGCAAAGAAGAATCAAACTCTTATTAGGGTCAAAAGCTCCCAAGTAGGATGAAAGTGGGGAAGGAGCGGAGGTTAACAAAATCGAGCAAGTGGACTTTGTTCCATTGATCTTTACTGGGAAGATAAAAAGTAACGGGTAAACCAACAAGCACTTTCCGGTCTCCAGGTGGTAAATGTTCAGCTAAATATGACTGGTTTTTTCCAACATGGACATGCAAGAGTGATTGAAATCTGTACTATTTTTGGAATTCTTGCATAAGCAACACAAAGGTGATTGAAACTCCAACTAGTTTTTGACCTCTAACATGAACATACAATTGGAAAAGTTCTACTCAATTTTGATATTTTTATTCACAATTTCAAATTAGTGGGGGATAGTGGTTTTCAATAAACTCCCAAACATGTAATTGTACCAAAACAATAAACTGTTGGATGTCATAAAAAGAAGGGAAAGATGGTAAGAATTCAATTAAAGTGGGCACCACAGAACCCATGAAAAAGATGGAAACATCAAACATTGGGCAGCTGTCATAAACCAATGAAAGAAGGCAGCTGTCTCCAGCTGCTGCTGGCTATTACCTTCCTCTCCATCCTCTCCCCATCAACTCTACTGGAATAACTCACTACTCTTCAGTACTTAAAACATTTAAAAGCCCTGTTTTACTCCCTCATTTCTTCAACCTATTCAGAGAATTCTTCTTCCACTTCCACAAAAAGATCACATTTTTAAGTTCAAACCTTAACAATGAGATTGGTGGAATTAGTATACATCCTCCTCCTTCTTCATCTATCAACACTACTTATAATCAGTAGTACTAATGCTGCTGCTAACAATGAGCAGCAGACATTGAAGACCACAACTGATTCTTCTTCTTCTTCTTCTTCTTCATTGTTTAACCCAAAGCTACCACCAAGAGCTTTATCAGTCTCCAAGAAATATGAAGGCTCCTCAAACCTCGTCAACCTACGGTACCATATGGGACCCGTATTGTCGTCTTCACCAATCAACATTTACCTAATTTGGTACGGCAAATGGGCTGTTTCTCACCAGCTTCTCATCAAGGACTTCCTCCTCTCCATTAGCCCCACCAGAGGCCGTCGTTCCCGGGCGCCTTCGGTGTCGGACTGGTGGAAAACGGCCTCCCTTTACACTGACCAGACCGGTGCCAATATCTCCCGTTCTGTAGTCATTGCCGGAGAATATTCCGACCGGAAATACTCCGTCGGAACCCACCTCACTAGGCTCACAATGCAGAACGTGATTGCGGAAGCCGTACGGTCGAAGCCGTTCACCGTCGACCACAAGAACGGGATATACCTCATCCTCACCTCCGTCGACGTCACCGTTCAGGACTTCTGTCGAGCAGTTTGCGGGTTCCACTACTTCACCTTCCCTTCCGTGGTGGGATTCACGGTTCCGTACGCCTGGGTCGGGAACTCCGGGAAACAGTGCCCGGAAGTCTGCGCGTACCCGTTCGCCGTCCCCGGGTACATGGCCGGGAATGGGCCGGCGGCGCTGAAACCGCCGAACGGGGACGTGGGCGTGGACGGGATGATGAGCGTGATTGGCCATGAATTAGCGGAGATGTCATCGAACCCGCTGGTGAATGCGTGGTACGCCGGAGAAGACCCGATGGCGCCGACGGAGATCGGGGATTTGTGTGAAGGGTTGTACGGAAGCGGAGGAGGAGGAGGGTACATCGGGCAAGTGAATAAGGATAAGGAAGGAAGGACGTACAATGTGATTGGTAGGAAAGGAAGGAAGTTCTTGCTACAATGGCTATGGAGTCCTGTACTCAATGCCTGTGCTGGCCCCAATGCTTTAGACTGATGATGATCCATTGTAGAATTGTTAGCTTTTAGGACAAAATTTGTTTTCTTTTTTACTTATGAAATTATAGACCATGAAAACTAGTCAATCAATATTCATTGTAGTAATGTAGTAATGTAATGTGATTACAATTCAGCGTATGGATTCGAAGTTTCGAAGACCTGCAATATGAAAAAAAAAAAACAAAAAAAAATGAATTCATTGTAATAATACTATTATTAGTACTTCATGTAATGTTGTTCATTTGTTCATTGCTGTTGTATATATAAATTGCAGAGCTTGAAGTTTAACCCTAAAAAGTGTAGTTTGATAATTGCATTAGCAAATTAAAAAACGGTGAACTTGCCATTAAAATAGTGTAGTTGAAATAAAATGTTATCGTAATGTGCGCAATTGCCTTGAATGCTGCGTGTGTATGTGTGACAATTTGACTTCTGTTCTTTCTTAAAGAAGGCGAAAAGCAGAGACAAACAAGTGTTGACTTTGGAGTTGGGAGTAGTTCAAATGCTCTAAATTAAGAAAACATGAGAAATTGAGAATTTGGATTTTTTTTTTTCTTCTTCTTTATATTATATGTAAAAAGTAGTAGCAAGATTTCCATTGACAACAGAATGACGTAATTGAGGTAATCTCTCCCGAAATAGTACTAACTTAGTAACAGAAAATATTTCTCATTGTTACCAAAACAATCATCAACAGTAAGTAGTAAACAAGTTTCTTTAAAGGGTTAGTAGTGCAGCAGTGGAGGCATCTTGTCATTCTTGCAAATTTCAAATTTCATAAAAATAAGGAAGGCCCTCCTTAGTTGATGCCAGTGGGGACACATCATAAACCATAGTACAACATTTCTATGGGCAACAGCTAGTAGGATGACGGGCCCACTCTTTCATAGGTTGCCATCTTTGCATTATTAGCTTGCTTCAGGAATCAGGATGGATATGATGTTGATCCCACTGCCCTTGGGCAAAGAGTAGCTTTGGTGTCTATGCATTATTAGCTTGCTTCATTCTTTTTGCAGGTGGAGAACTGAATAGCTTTCTAATTGAAGCAATTGGATCATCAACCTTCACATAACAACAATGTAAGACAATGATTAATGACCTTAATTTTTACCATAGTAGTTGTAAGGGGGCCAAAATCGAGACCAAAATGAAAAGTTGCACATAATTTGAAAGCACATAGCGAAAATCGATGGTAGTAAAAGTGTTCATCCTTACCTCCATGAAGGTAGAAGGAGCCTTTTCAGGCGAGAGATTTATATCAGAAAACTCTTTTTGCTGTAGTAAAGCACCTAGTGTCTGCTTCCATCCTGGAGAAGAGTTACCACTAGATGCAATCCAGGGGCAAAAGAGCCTGTGCTGCTGGATTGGATTGAACTCAGTTGACTTAGGAGCTGATGCTTGTTCTGGAATCTTTGCTGCATGAACATCAAATGATAAAACGATAAATGGTTTGTTTCCAGATGAAGAACATATTAATAGGTTATTGTCTAATTGGACATAGACAATGCAGTCCAACTTCAAAATTATATTGCATATAGGAAAATAAATCACGGTTTGAACATAATGTGACCATTAAGTTAGTACCACACAGGTTATAAAAGCACTGTCTAAGAAGAAACCCCCAAAAAAAAAGAAAAAAAAAGAAAAGAAAAACATAGAAATAATGAAAGATAAGTTCCTCACCCAATGTATTGATGCGGCTGAAATTTCCATCCGCCGCAGATGATCCGGACTGCAAATCACCTTGCGAATCACTACCTTTGCAAATAGCAGCTTCAGGAACCATTCCAGTATCATTTTTACCGGCTCCTACATTCCCAGTCATTGCATTATCTTCTGCATCTGTCCCAGAAGATTCACCTACTTGTGACCTATTATGGTACAATACTAAAGCATTATCTCTATGGCTACTTTCCACATTCCCCACGAGTTCACGGTCACTTGTCAAAACTCCATCTACAACCTGAGCATCTTCAGGTCGATGGACCCTATTGGCCTCTACTTCACCAATTATACGAGCTCCCTGATCTTCCCCGACTACTTTTTCCATTGCTTGAAAATTGCTTGAAATTTGAGCCCTTAAAATTCGCCCAACCACAGGTAAGGAAATAGTTGCTTTATAGTTTTGCTTTGCAGGTGGAAGACCACCAGCAATAGTTAAACTCAAATTCGAAGTTTGTTGACTAAAAGATGTGGAGGCAGCACCACTGCCATCAACTTCTGTATATCCAACTAACCTCAAAAACTCCAAAGGCCGTTGAACTGAAGAAAAGGCCCATAAGCCAACACTAGCTCCACAAAGCCTGCACTTTAAGGCTACAGAATTAGGTTCAAAGAGGGCTCCCCCGGAGGCCGGGGAATCTTGATGATCCTCAATATTCTGACTAGATGGACAAGAGACAACGCTGAGATTGAGTCCATCAGATGCTAGATGAGATTGATGAGCTAAATTGTCGATTTTAGAGGAATCTTTTTTCCCAATATCGCAATCAACAATATACGGCAATGAGTGTGGTTCCCAGCCACATAAGCTAATAAGTTTTTGTGCCTACAAACAGAAATTTCAAGTTGAGGTTAAATTTTTGAAAAGAATAAAACCATGAAAAAAACCGATAAAAAAAAAAGAAGCAGCATGCATTAAATTTTAGTTCAAGGAAAGATTTGTAACAAGAAGACTTCAATATGAACTTTATAAGAATGAAACCAGGAGGTTTTATCCAGTGGCTCTAGTCATTTCTTGAACCTGATAGTATGAATCATCAGCAGACTTGTTCTTGCCCACACCTGTATCTCCTCCAAGAAATTGCCACAGTTCTGGGCTGGCCATGTTATCAATGGCTGATGCTGAAATCCGGGGGAGAGCTGTAAGATGCAATAGAACAGAACACCTTTTTCTATAGTCCTCAACTAAAACTGACGTTGGCTTCGGAGGAAAACTTGCAAGTTTTTCATCACAGATATTGTCCACCCATGGGCAAAGTAACTTGTGCCCAGTATCTAGCTTCAAACTAAATACCAAAGCCGCCTTTTCAACTGGAAAATATATGCACACGTCAGAGGAAAGTGGACAAATGACTCAGTCCACCAATCTTCAAAACACCAAGCTGTTTTCAAGATAAATAAGAGTGAGCCTACTCTGTTTCATAGAACAATGGAAGGATTCATGCTTACCTTGCTGCTGTGACCAAGACGAAGGGGTGGAGAAAAGAAGTCGCGCCCCACATGATTCACAGGAAAGTGTATCCACATCTACATTGATCCAGCCCCTCCTTGCACAATTGACTGCAGTGACCGCCTGATACAAATGGAAAAGTTAATTTGTGATTATGCCTTATCTTGAGATAAAGGGCAAAATGACCAAGCGGTGTTTCTTATATTGAAAGGGGTAAGTACTTTGTCTGGAATAAGACTAAGCAACAGGGTTACTAACACCAGAGAAAGCATGCAAAAGTCAAGAATATAATACTCATTTGTAAGAGAAACTGTGGACTAGTCAGGCACAAAGAGACATTCATAAAGGATAAACAAGACGACCATACTACTAATTTTACGTGCCACTATGACATAAATTAAGAGCTATACAAGACAAAAGTACCAAATAGAGAAAACACCATACTGAATCCTAATTCTTCAGCATACAGCCATACACCCTCTTATGGCCCTCAAGTAAAGAAACTGAGAACTTCCAGGGCATTATCTATTATCTATAACCTTCTATACTTCAAAATGCAGGCAAGAACCAATAAGGGCCCTTTCTCCACTGAATTTGGGTTCTTGAAATTCAATGGTGAGTAAGGGTACCTACTATTCTTAATCTACATTTAGTACCCTCAACTACTCAGCAGACGCGCCACTGAAATCAATGAACCAAACATGCTGGATGCACAAACTAAAAGTTTGCAACAGTAAACCTTTCTATATGTTTTGGGTGATTTTCAACTTCAATGGTCCTCAGGAATCTACAACCAGATTTTGATATGAGCTATACTGGACTCCAAAATGCAGTTCCAAAAGTTATCAGGCAATGCCAAAGGATAACAAACTGAAGTTACACACAAGATAGAGATGATGTAGGAAAACAGTTGCACAAGGCATTTCCGCAAGAATCAAGAGTACAAATTTAAACTGCAGACACCTTGACACGTGACTCTGTAAATAAACTGAAAATTAGCTTCACTGGACCCATTTCAGCATCTACAAGAAAGTATAATCAATTCGTGGTTTACGCCTTAGTTTCCAATCTACTAACTCTTGCTCTCATTCGTTACAAGAACTTCTTACAAACATGTTTGGCAAAGTAACAATCATCAAGCTGCAAGTAACCATGCAATTTTAAGTGTAATGTGGGATTGGGCGACATAAAGAGCACCAAAACTGAACCGCAGAACTCATTGGCAACAACAACAGGACCGCTATCTCAGCATTATCAATATAACCAAGGGAATAGTAACAAAATCCAGAAGTCATTGCCTCAGAAATTGTACCTGTGGCTTAGCAAACCAAGTCATGGATTTGAAAGTAGCCAACCTCCTGAATAGATCATCACGATCCCATGGTTTACATACTGCCCCACTTGAACCAGTCGAATTCTGCAGTTCCTCAATCGGGTTGCCCCTTGATTTTTGACCCACAATGGCCAATGCAGAGGAGAAATGTGGACGCTTCTTCACTCGGGACATCTCAAATCCAACCGCATTACTGCATTACCCAAATTGAAATTCACAACAATCAGCTAAAAATACCCAAACACCAAAAAACCCCATATCTCACAAACAAAAAACAATGCTTCAAATGAAATAATGTGCTAAGGAAATTACTACGACTAGAGATTGACAACAGAATTTCTGAAAACAAGAGATTACATGAAACCATAACTTCAGCTACAACGAGGAAGAGATAAATAGCAACGGGAAGAAAGTTGGAAGTAGAAGAGAGAAAGGAAAGAGGAGGACCTGGAAGAATCATGGCGAATAGGAGTTGAAGATTTGGGAGGTCCCGGAAACATCTTTTGCAAAGCAGCTTCAAATCTCTTCTCCGATTGTTCGGCCATGTCTGTCGCCTCTCCAACTTTTTCCAGGTTTCTGTTCGTTGCAAACTTTTTTTCTTAGAGCTAATTTATTTTTTTTATTACGACAAAAGTAATGTTAATATTGCCTTAGAAAAATATCTATTCAAAAAAAAAAAAATGCCTTTAGACAGAAATAGAATAGTCATAATTAACTCAAGATTGTACTTAAAAGTAGTTGAAATATTGAAAAAATAAATAAATTGAGAAATAGCCATGTTTAAATTTATTACAAAATATGTAAAAAAAATAAAATAAAAATTATGAATCCTAATTAGATTAAATTCTCGATCTCTATTGATTTTATAGAAATGCACTAAGAATTTCACAACTAGACTAAAATTATTCACAAGCCTAAAATCTATAATAAGACTCCCTCTTGTCCTAATTATAAGCCATACATTTAAACTAACTATAGGTTAATTTGAAGTTTATAATTAGGCCAGAGGATTTATAACTTTTTAGAATGTGGCGTTTTTTTTTTTTTTCCTTTTTTGAGTTTTATATGGGTGCATGTGTAACATTTTATATCACTTGTTTTAAGACGAAACATGGTTTAGACTTTAGATACTTTAGAGCATCCAAAATGTTATACACATTATTAAGATAAAATCACGATAATTATTATTTTATTATCCGTCACTTTTTAATAGTTCTTAAGTTAATTTTAAAAAATCTACTTTTAAATGAATGTACTTAAAGTTGAACAAAAGTTTCATTTTCCTATTTTTGTGCTAATTCATTAAAAAAAATTGCATCAAATTGGAGTTTATTTTCATGTACACCTAGCTGATTGCAATGGGTAGCGTTTAGAATCAGGGCTTCTTCAAAAGCATAAGTTCGAACCTCTTAAGTGGGCTACAATGGGAATATCAACAAAACGGATCTAGTGGGCTTGTTCCATTTTTGGTTAACTAGAATATTTTCTCTATATCTTCAATTTTATTGTTTTGAATGTCATCAAATATTCGGATGAAAATTAATTGTGAAGCTTTAAAACTTTTTTGATGATATCCAATAATAATAATAATAATAATAAAACCCTTTTGGAAGAAAGTATGGCATTATATGGCTGAAAGTAAATGTTCTTTTTGTTGAACTATAACGGAATTGATTATTTTTACGAGAGCTCAATATTTCTTAAATTAAAATCAAATCGATGTAAGCAGGCATTTCTTCAATTGTAAATTGACATAGAAGCTATAGCTTCAATGATTTTTTATTTTTATTTTTTTTCTTATTGGACCAACGCCTAATTAACCAGCCTAGAATTCTTAGATTTGACATATCACTTTCATATTCGTATTGCATTTATAATTAAGAAAAAAAAATGGTCCAGAAAAAAGCCCAAATGATTATGAGCTCTCAAGGAGGCCTTCTTAACTGCTTTTGTTTCAGTACTCTCTGTAAAAAGTGGTCCAAAAGAAAGGAGCCTCGAGGCACTTGCGCATAACTCCAATGTAATTCGGCCACACTTTTAGGCTAATTTTGAGCTACATAAACGGCATACTTTCATATGTATTCCCAACTTCTTTGTTTATCTGACAATGACAAAACACTTAAAATTTTAATGTGTTTCACTAGTCAATACAAAAGCACATCTAAAATTGAGGGGGTTTTGTGCAAGAACCCTTCAAAGGACCACTTTCAATGTTTTTTTGTTCCTCTATGGAATTAACACAATTAACGGTTGAGTATTACTGCAAAAATCTCTAAAATTTCCTTATACAAATCATTATCCTTAATGTTTATCATAAACTCCATGCCATCACTTGTCTGAATGTGGGATTTGCGAGAGGAGATGACTAGTTAGGGAGACACCATACATTTGTTGAAGTTTATTCAGTTGTTAACTACTAAAACAATAGTTCGTTCTTTTTTTTTTTTGCTTGTAATCTTTAACGTACAAATTTGTTAATGTTGGGACTTGTCCAAATCAAATATTTGTTTCTAGCCAATGTAGACAGGCCTCATCAATATCAAATCAAATTTATACACAATCTAATAGGTAAAGCACATAACAGCAGCTTTAATAAGAACATTTGTTCTTTATTCTGTTCAATGGTCTCGAAAAGAAACCCGACCTAATGTTTGCTTCAATTTAGTTGCACCTATCGATTTATACACAATCACTCCACCTATGCTCATCCAATACAATAAACTAAATTTGATCATTCAGTCTTCATGTGAAAGTGTAGATTGAAGATTGTACTCCTTCCATTCCAACCAGTATAATTAAAAGGACAATCATTCTAGGACGTAGGGAGTATCATAATACCAAATTCTAGCGAAAGACAGCAAGAAAATTTCACAGCATTTTCTTAGCTGCATGGAGTAAGTACTCATTTCAATGCATATAAAACAGTTGTGAGGATTATGGTCCTCAAAGTTTAAGCTGGTCCCCTTACTACTGCAACCTAAATTTAATTCTGGAGCTCAAAAATCATAGCAAGAGTTGGGAGTATCAAGACAAACTTAGACAAACAGTACTAGGCTGCATAATCAATCACAAGATGCCTGCAGCCCCTATACCCCAAATTTTAGTTTTTTAATCATATCCTTGAGACTTGAAAGCTCAGTTTTTTTTTAAATCTCTTTTTTCCAACTAAATCAGTAATCACAGCTCTGATCTCTATGTCATTTGCACTGATCATTTTGAAAGGAATTTTTCTGTATTTTACTCTTGGAAAAAGACATGCAATTTATGTTCCTGAACTTGGTCGTTTTCAGTAGTATATGATCCTTAAGAATATGGTTGAAAACCCCAAGAAACAGAAGGCTCAAAACTAGAGTAAAAAAGATAACTTTTTAATCTGATACTGATTTTCTCTCATTGCAAATATTCAAATGGAAAACAAAACAACTCTCTTTGCTTTCTTTGCTTTGCTGCTAATTCATGGTTTCTGCATAAGTAAAGGGGATGATGATATACTAGCACCCATGGAAATGGAAGAGAAAGAGGCCCTTTACTTAACCATCCAAGGTTTTATAGGGAAATGGTGGAATGGCTCAGACCTGTATCCTGACCCTTGCGGATGGACACCTATTCAGGTAAACAAAAGGTCTCTTTTTGCTAGGCAAAATTCATTCTTTTTCATTAGTTCTCTCTTTAGTCTTTAGCCATCTTCTTCGTTTGTCATCATCAGAAAGTATAATACTAATCAGCATACAATGAGAAAATGTTTAAGTATTTTTTTTGGTTCTAGTTTCTTATATGCTTGGCGTCATCCAAATGCATGTCTTTTGTTATAGAATGAATGATTGAAGTAGAAAAGTTATGGAAGTTTTCTTGTAAGAGAAATTTGACATGAATTTCTAAAGGAAAAGGGCCATCTATTTGCTTGTAGGGAATGTCCTGTGATTTCTTGGATGGCTTTTGGCATGTCTCAGTTTTAAGCATTGGACAAGTCTATGACAACTCACTCAACTGTTCACCAAATGCAGAGTTTGATAGTCATCTATTCCAGCTCAAACATTTGAGAAGACTTTCTTTCTCAAATTGTTTTCTCTCATCTCACAGAACTGCATCAGTCAGAATTCCAAGTATGTCAGATTGGAGCAAACTTGCTAACGGTCTAGAGTACCTAGAGTTTCGGTTGAATCCGGGATTGACAAGAACCATTCACAATGCATTTGGTTGCCTGATAAATCTTGAATCCCTTGTGCTCGTAGAAAATGGATTGACAGGAGAATTACCATTTGAGTTAGGCAATTTGGTTCAACTAAAGCGCCTGGTTCTCGCTGGAAATCGCTTTTTCGGCCAGATTCCAGCTAGCCTAGGAGGGTTGACAGAACTTCTGATCTTTGATGCTAGTAGGAATTTCCTCTCAGGCCCTTTGCCTATAACTCTTGGAGGATTAATTTCCCTCATAAAGCTTGATCTAAGTAACAATCAAGTTGGTGGGAAGTTTCCAGGGGAAATTGGAAATCTTAAGAACCTTACACTAGCTGATCTAAGCTGTAACAACTTTTCAGGTGGATTGCCTGAATCAATACAAGAAATGCCATCTTTACAAGAACTTTTGCTGTCGAAAAACCCGAATCTTGGTGCAGACCTTATGGTAATTTCATGGAAAAATCTGCAGAATTTGGAAGTTTTGGACCTTTCTTACACTGGGACAACAGGAAATGTGCCAGAATCTGTGTCAGAATTGAAACAACTGAGGTTTCTTGGACTGAATAACAACCACCTCTCAGGATCCATACCTCAAAGTTTCCAAAGTCTACCAAGTATCAGCTCTCTTTACCTGGATGGCAACGATTTTTCTGGGAAACTTGAATTTCCAGAATGGTTTTATGAAAAAATGGGGAGCCGTTTTAGAGTTTCTGATAATCCAAATCTTTGTTGCACCCTTCAAAATATGTCATCAAGGCATGTTCCTGTTGGGATACGTACATGTGATCAGCACTAAAATGATTTTAGCAGCATATTTGCAGAAAAAAACATTTCTTTTTTTGTTCCTTTTTTTTATTTTAATAGTGAAGTTATTGTTATAGTTTTTTCTATGCACATATTGTATTCCAAGCGATATGAATAATGTGATTAGTTTTTTTATCACATGAAAATGTCACATGTACTATGGAGCATTTGTATGGCTTGACTTGAATTCGCAATATACTGCTCAATAGTGTATTAACAACTTATATTATGAATCGAAGATAGTGATTACTCTTCTAACACAAAAGTTTTTCATCTTTAGAATAAAATTAAAGGTTCACGAACTTACTAGAATCAACGAGATCGACAACGAATTAGGAGGGGACAACCAAAACGCAATCCTCAAAATACAAAAATAAAACCAAATTTGCTACTATGTAAGACTCCAAAATTAACTAAATAGTCATTTTGATTGCCATAAATTTTGCATCATATAGTAACAACAAAAATTCTGCAAAGAAAAATACCAAATGAATACCAATTACACAAATGGGCTCGACCGAAACTTACAGGCCTCAAGTTTAGGCCCAAACCCATCTTTAAATATTCATCTTCTTCATTTTGCCATTTTTCCTATGAACTTGATCACATCAAAAACACGTCCAAACGGTTCCTGCCTTCCTGGTAGTCTTGTCTGTGATTAAATTTTTCGTTTAGTAAAGAAATCTGTTTAAATATTGTGCCTTTGAACCGATAACTTTTGGGGGTTTATACTTAGTGGGGTTTTTTTTTTTTTTTTAATTTCTTGGTTTGATTTATTAGTTGGTTGGGGAATAAAATCAAACAGGTGATAAGCTATGCAGAAAGACGAGGATACAGTGAGACAGGAGCGAGTTGTTGAAGCTCGAGCTAGAAATATCAGTCACAATGTAAGGTGCACTGAATGTGGAAGTCAGTCCATTGAAGACTCTCAAGCTGACGTTGCCATTTTACTCAGGAAGGTATCATGTTCTCTGCTGGGCTGTCCTTTGTTCTTCTAATTAGATTATTCCTCTGATCATGATCACTTCTTCTAAGAATAATCCTTTGTTGAATAACTTCTCCGCCAAAGTTGAATACGAGAAATAGTTTTTGCCTAGATGCGATATTTGATGGACATGGTTATCTTGCAGCAATGGGGTCTTGGCATTTCTTTTTCCCCCCCTTTTTCCCGGTGACTTTGGAGTTTGTCTTACAGAGGTGCTAATGTTGAATTTCTATTTCCCTTAATCTAAAACTGCTTGGAGGTAGTGTTTTGTAACCATTGGATGAGTGGTGAACTCATTCTAGCTGAAATATCTGATAAATGTTCCTTTGCTGTGTAACATGCACTCTTCAGTCTTCAGTCATCAGTTGTCATTTGGTGTCATAATGCTTAACCCCTACTGGAAGCTCTTTCCTAGCTGATTTTTAAATTTTTCTGTTACGGCATGTGGCCAAGATTTTGTGGTATTTAACTAAAAAATAGTTCAGTCAAGATAGTGTTTAGTCATCATCTCTCTGTAAATATTTGAATGGTTCAATTGTGTGCCTGTCTGGAATTCAAAACATTTTTCCGGATATCTGGACGAGTCTGTTAAATAGTCTTTCTTGAGTTCTAAGAAACATTGTTAGTGTAGCTCCAACTAATGTACAAAGTTTTGCAGTTTGAAGTTTTAGATGATACCTTTATATTCTCTCCCTTTGGTATATTATTTGTTATATATCTCATTGACAAGGTATTCTAACTGAATTTGATCGAAATTCGTTTGTCCAGTTGTTGCATTTGCTTAGATATTCTGTTTATTAGCCACAAGGTTCGCTACCACTTATATCATTTATGCTATTTGTTATAGTTGATTCGGGATGAAATTCGAGCTGGAAAATCAGACAAAGACATCTACAAAAAGCTTGAGGATGATTTTGGTGAAACAGTGCTTTATGCACCAAAATTTGATTTGCAGACTGCCGCCCTGTGGTTGTCTCCTGTATGTCTAATGCACCGCCTAGCAGTTTCCTTAATGCTCTTTAATTCTGTTGTTTATGGATGATGGATACTGAATTCGGAGATCTCCCTGTCTACCAGGTCTTGATTGCCGCTGCAGCTGGTGGACTATGGGCTTACCAAAAGCACAGACAAAGGACAAATGTGCACATCATGGCCCTGAACCTAGTTAGAGGAGTTCCATTGACTCCAAAGGAGAAGGAGACGATGCTTGATGTTCTAACGCCACCTCCTTCTGAAAATATCACTCCTTGGTGGAGAAGGTGAATAGGTCCATGAAGGCCCTTTGCTTACTATCTATCTTATGGACTGCTGTCCTCTGACAAGAAGTATCAACTCCTCCATGGTAGCAACCTCCTCGCCAGGAGCAGTTGTTTAGGCTGATAACCTTGTCATATGAAGTAGCTGCTCTGTTTATTCATGTAGCTGCGGCCATTTGAGTTGTTTATAAATGTATTTCACACTTGCATTTTTCAGAAGTAAGCTAATATGAAGAATATAGGATGAATTGGTAGTGTTCTAGCTTTCGGAGTGCAAGATACCACTGTGTAATACTCCATCTTAGTAAAAGCAGTAAACGAAGGCAGGTTACTGTCGACTGCTAAGATAACTTTCAGACTTTGTGACCCGTGCTACGATTTTCTACGAAGTTACAGTAACAGTCTTATTTCTTTCTCCCCCATTTGGATCGTCTTTACTAATTTCCATTCGGTTAATTCTAGCTTTTTCAATATCTCAAGCATCAAACCAATTCAGCTATCATCTAGGGCAATGGCGGCCAAGCAAAAGTTCTGATCATTTTTGCCATTGGATATAAGAGGAGTTATCCATATTGTCAAACAAAATTACCAGTAAAAAACACATGGAAAATGATGAAAAGCAAGCTTCAAATATAAGCCACAGGAAAATTCTGAAGAAATATTATCGACATAATGCCGTTAGAACTTAGAACCTATCCAAAAGAAATTTACTTGACGAGAAAGGGTTTAAAAAAAAAAAACCAAGTCAAAGGTTGCAGTTCCTAAACTATTGCCACTATCCCTCCCACATCCTCCATGGTTCTCTCCACTTTCTTCTCTGTTTTCAAAACAAAATGCATCCCATCACCCATCTTTATAAGTCCAGTAACATCAAGTTCTTTTCTTCTAGTCATTCTCACACAGAAGAAACTGATCAGTTGCATTCATAAAACTCAACAAACAAGACACAGAGCTCCCTGTTTCAAGTCCAAAAACCAAAACAAAAAATGGGGTCCTTCAAGGGATTTTCCTCTGTTTCCATCTTCATGATCATCATCACCTTCTTCTTTTGCATGCAATTTTGCACAGTTCTTTCTGTGAACTTCGAGGTCGGCGCGAAAGACGGCTGGGCTATTCCTCCATCCAAAAATCAAGACTTGTATAATGACTGGGCTTCAAAAAACAGGTTTCAAGTCAATGACACACTCCGTAAGTAGTACTATGCTTCTTCATGGATTTTATATTGTTCATAGATTTTATGATTCAATAAAAAAAAAAATAATAATAATGCATATGGGTTTTTTTTTTTTTTTTTTGTAGATTTTACATACAACAAAGACTCGGTTTTGGTGGTAACTCAGGAGGAATATAAGAAGTGTCATTCAGATCATCCTCTGTTTTACTCTAATGATGGCAGTACTGAATACACATTGGATCGATCAGGCTTTTTCTACTTCATTAGTGGTGTTTCAGGGCACTGTGATAAGGGTCTGAAGATGATCATCAAGGTTATGGAGGAAAAAGAAAGCCTTCCTCCTCAATCTGCAAATGAAACGTCCAAGAAAAAATCCTCATCCGCAGACTTTCCTGTTTCTGCTTCATTTTCGGTTTCTGTTGGCATGATATTCATATTTGCACTGTTTGGGGCAGTTTGAATTTAGTGTTTTTTTGGTTCAAATTCCTTCTCCTCCATTGTTTAGAGGTTTCCGTAGTTGTTAGGAAAATGTAGCCTTTGATTTGTTTGAACTTTTAGAACACAGTTCAATGCACCCTGGTTTTCTTTTCTCTTTGTGTTCAATAGCTTTTAATTTAATGTCTTCTGCAAGATCGTTAATTAGTGTCTTTCCAGTTCAATTGTGTTTGGATTTGTTAATTCAGTTGTTTTCACGATTCAATGTAATAATGTACTCCCTCCGTCCCATAATTATTGTCCACTTTGCTTAAAAAATTTTGTCCCAAAATTATTGTCCAATTTGACTTTTTATGGATTAAATTACACATTTGCCCTTTATACAAAAACGGCATTTCACTATTATTAGAACCGGAGCTTTGAACTCCCTCATAAGATACCCGGAGCTTTGAACCGTGCATCGGAGCCGGCGAGACGTAACAATTGTCCATCAATAAGGACGAGAATCAAGGAAAACGAGATCCAGAGTACTCTGCCAATCCGCCCCGCTCCTTCAAGCTATCTCCGTTCTTCAGCCGCCGCCATAGATGGCCTTTCACCACGAGTTAGTAGCCCAAGATTCTCGGGTCCAATGACACGCAGCGCTCACTCATTCAAACGCAATAACCACGCAAATATCAATTCCCAAGCCACCCAAAATAGTAGCAGTAACAACACTAACGGTTCTTTAGGCGACCATGAGATTAATGTTCCGCTTTACTCACCCAGATCTGAAACTCATAGTCGTGGAAATTCAGTTGATGGGTTGGAGGCTATATTTGAACATAAAAGGACCTGTTTGGGGAGATTGACTCAGAGAGTTCATTTGAAGAGAAAAATCGAATCTTTGAATGTGGAGTTTGGGCTGGGATTGGACTTGAAGGAGAGGAAAGATTTAGGGCAATGGATGTTTTTCGCGTTCTGCGGGATTTGCTTGTTTTGGGGGATTCTTAAGTTTTGTGCTAATGGATGGTTTAGATCCGGTGAAATAGAAAATTATCTTCATGAACACCAAATTAAGGGTACGAAAATTCTCCAAATTCAAAATTCTTCATAAGAGAAATTGATTCAATTATAGGCGCATGATTGAAAGAGAGGTGATGCTCTGTTTTAAACTGGGTTTGGTTTAATGTGATAAAAAGTAATGGAAATTGTGTTCTTATGGCCGATTAATTAAACCATGTGTGCAGGGGTACATTTGGAATCTTAAATCAAAATTTGGTTAAGTTTGACCAAAAATAAAATCTTGGATTTTGATAAAACTGGACAACAATTATGGGACGGAGGGAGTAATATACAGTCCAATTGTGCAAATTGAGTTAACTTTATTAATTAATTATGTTAACCTTCTATTTTTCCAAAAAAAAAAGAAAGAAAATAAATAAACTAAAATCATGTTTCTGGCTAAAAATTAATTCTGGTAAACTTCTTTATTCAGAAATTTTTAAAGATCTGTACTGAATTATTTTGTAGGTCATTTTGTTTTTCCAGTTCGAGAATGTAGGCAACAAGTTGATGTTACTATGTCGATACTATTTTTCATCAGATGTTCATGTTATAGCTCTTAACTCGAAACAAACAAGTGTTTTCTTGTCATTGTGGAAACTCAAATCAAGAATCAACGGAAGAAATATCCACTCAAAACTCAATTCAATGTGTTTTCTTTTTGGTCAATTGAGATGACAGTTGGACTTTTTGGTCAATTGAGATGTCAGACATTATGTCGACCAATTACTCTCTCCATTCAAGTTTAGTAGTCCACCATGAATTGGCAAGAAAAACCGAAAGACCTTGGGAAATCACAATTCTCCTAAAGTAACAAGCAGAGTTATACATCTAAGTAGTCGGCAATACAACATTCATAATCTCAGCTTATAGAAGTCAAAATCAAAAAGATGTCGTAAACAACAGCTAACAACAATGTTGGAATTCTTCTCTATAAAAATCTTTTCTTACCCGAGTGATAAGCCTAAGCCTGCTTGTACTGAAGCTAAACATCACTCCGGAATACAGAGCTAGCCTATATCAAAATTGGTGCTATGTGCCGCAGCGATAACTATTTGACCTGCCCTTGACACGGTAGTAAAGCTAATATCTCACAAATTGGCGTGAGTCGCCTTCACCTTTCTTCCCATAGGGGTTGCTCTGACTGAATCCATTTCGAGATCCATCAACTTTTCGCTTTTTATTCCTGAACTTGGAAACATTGCTGTCTATGTTTATATTTACTCTTGGAGGAGAAGAGAAACAAAAGGAAGCAGCCACACCCTGCAAAACAATGAAAAGGTAATTAGCAACTGGCTTGATGAGTTAATGCACCAATCATCACAATATCCGGTACGAGATTGCTATCAATTCTTTCTAAGCTCTCAATTTTGTGACAGCTCATAAACTTTGAAATGTAAGAAAGAAAACAGACAAACCAAGAAGGAAATAACCAATGTATGCAACTCCAAACTGATAGCAATAACCAATCATAATAGATGATTGGAATCAAAGAATAACTCTGTGATCTAAGGTTTCTACACCCTGAAGAAAAAAAAAGGCATAGCTACCTGGAGATCAAGTCGGTGCACATTGAAGATGTCTTTCATAGAATGCGAGTTGTATGCAAGCAAATAAGATCTATATGCATCTTTAGCAGATTTGTTCAGATAATAGTTATTCTCTATCAGCTTTTCCTGCATTGAAACAGTAACACTTCGATCAGCCCAAAATGGACGAAGAAGATAGAAATTCTCCCATGTAATCTGACCACACAAAACCTAGGAGTAGAGATTACCAGATGAGATTGCACATTTTTCAAACTCTTATTATCAAATTCATACTCTTTCACCGGAACCTTTGCATCCTGAGATAGGAGAAAATTTGAAGCAAGCATAGTATAGTCAGGACAACCTATCCATACACACGGAAAGAAACCGGAGACTGAAACTTGCTTTCTCAAGACAATTAAGAGGAAAATTTGAAAGCCAAGACATGGAAGGTTCCATCTTATGTATTCCAATGCTTGATTAACCACGAAATGTTGTAGCAAGCCCCATAAAACCTGCCCATGACCTTTATATTCAATTCCATGAAATGATGGACTTCTAGGTGGGCCATAACAAGTACTTCATCATGCCAACTAACCATGTATCCCCCCAACACACACACACACACACTCTCTCTCTCTCTTCTCCCAGGCTGTTAAAGAAAACTCATTCACAGGACTCAGCCTAGGACAGGAGCGAATGGGGTTTCTGAAGCTTCACTGATATGGACAACCTTGGCTTAGAGTAGGCTCTGATAAACTATTATCTAAAGGAAGAAAAACTGGGCAGCCAAATGTCGAATGTGTTATATATTTTATATACCACAATTGTAGAATCTACTACACCCATTGTAGAATCTAAAAGAAACCAACCTTGAGATAGCGAATGAACTGTAGCTCTTCTGGAATTAGGAAAAGAAGGGCATTTCCTTTTGCACCTTCCCCACGTGCTGTTCGCCCAACTCTGTGTATATATTCCTGAAAAAGTATGAAAAGGGAGAGACATTATTATTCAAAGAAGAGCATTTTAGGCAATTAGAAAATCAAGGAAATTTCCAAAAATATAAAATGCACCTTAGGATCATCCGGAGGATCATACTGCACAATCCAATCCTGGGAAATTTAAAAGAAAATAAAAAGATATTAGGTGCTGCCAATAAACTTTCCCTTAGCGGTTGTGTATAAATAAAACTATAGAAACAAGAACATACCACATCAGGAATATCAAGACCACGCGCAGCAACATCTGTACATAACAAGATGCCTTTTTCAGCCTTGCAAAACTCAAAAAAGGTAGAGGTCCGTTTCATTTGCTTTTGCTTTCCATGTATATCCATACAGTCTACTTGAATGTATCTAAGAAGCTCCGAGTGGAATTTAACAGAATTACATGAGGAGAAGAAAACCATCACTTTCTTCGTCATATTCTTCTTCAAGAAGGAATACAGAAGAATAAATCTTTTAGCACTATCAACAACACAGTAGCCTTGCTGAAGCCCTTCGTTAGTGACCTGAAAAACCCACATCTCCCAGAAATGAGAACTCAGGGACTCAAAATAAAACAAAAACAACAAACAAAAAATAATTACCCTTTTTCTTCCATCATCAACATCAATATATACTGGAGTTTTCTGAAATGACAAGCGAGCAAGATCTTCGACCTGAAAGTAGCAGACAAAATCTTTAACGTAGCCAGTAATAATACATGAAAGAAAAAATAGGTTTAAAGTAAAAGCAAAATTATCACATCCTGTAATTTAGATCAAGGAAATTTACCAACCAGCGAAACGAATGCTCACCTTCTTAGTCTGGGTGGCAGAAAAAAGAGCTGTTTGTCTTGTCTGCACAAAATTTTTTGTTCACAGTTAGCTTAACGACGATGTGTTAATGCCAATGATTGAAATTATGTCCAGGCAACCAAGTCGGAAAGAGATAGTAATCAGCAAAAAAAGAATCAACTAAGAAGTAGCACCTTGGGGCACTAATTGCGAAAATTCGAAAAACAGTTCAACACAAGGCAAAGGTAAACCTGATCAACACAACATCAACCTCAGCCAAATGATAAAGGACTCCTAATAAGAAATTACCCTCGTCATTCACTATCCACATAATCACCTATTTTCACCATCATAATGTCACTATTAATTCTTAACAAGTGACAGTATGCAGACAACGAGCAAACCATGGACATTGTACAAACTAATTATTAAGACTGAGAGAAACAGAATTGAAAAGCGATAAGAGGTAACTTTGCCACGACCACAAAGAAACACTTGTAAAAAAAAAAAAAATACATATAGAATCCACTCAGTCACCTTTTACACAAATAGACCAACATACATTAACCATCAATGAAAACAGAACCAGAACTAAAATCATGGAATAGGGAGTGACATTGAAAATGTTCAGTTGAAAGCAAAGGGGATTTTCAGAAATTTGAGTACAGATATATGTAAACAAAAGAGCTTCAGCTTTCAACAAGATCAAACCTTAGGCAAAATCTTAATGATTTGCTTCATTTCTTCCTCAAAGTTGGCTTCAAGTATCCTATCCGCTTCATCAATTATGAGGCACTGCAAGTGCAAGATATTACAGACAGTGTAAGTGGCATTAATTTTGCAGATAATAGCCACTAAACTTAATCTCAATAAGAAAACTTGACAGATACGGAAAAAAAAAAATGGTCATTTAAATACACACACACACACACACACACAACTGCATGAACCTACAACAAAATAGAGACCCTGAAAGATGACAATTCTGTAAGTTCATCTTAAGCTAGACTACTGAATCAGAGTATCACAAGTGGAGAAAATGCTACATGCTTCGCATAAAAAATCAGGCAGCTTTGAGCAAGAGTCATGGATATCAAGAATAAATTTCCCTGAAAGGATTTCCAACTTGTTCCTTCCAATTACATTCAAGATAAATTCATCACAACAATCACCGTAACACTTCAAGAGATAGATGAACATCAAAAAGATTGGAGATTGAGTTGAATTTCAGTATCCATACCTTTAAATTTTTATATATGAACCCCTTAGTGTTTTGAAGATGGTCAAGAAGACGGCCAGGTGTAGCTACCAATAGATTGACTCCTTTCGCTAACCGCTCTGCCTCTCCTCGCCGAGCCGCACCACCAATAACCAGCCCAAGAGTCTGTGAGTGATACTTCAGGAGGTCTTTTGCGACAGCATGTGTCTGCATCATTGATATAGGATTAGATATAAATATTCAGCAATGCTTTGGTTAATGTTGACATGATACAGCACCCTCTTCATACTATTTCATTCAAGAAAGAAAGTTGATCACGAGATTCTATGCAAGAAAGTTCCATTTTTAATTTGTCTTCGGAGCAGAAAATATGGCAATTTAATTTCCTCAAAGTCACATAAATCCATTGCAAAAAGGAGGTTGGGCTGATCAGTAACAGCTGTTAACCTACAGTTACTAACTAGTGACACCGAGAATCAGTTAGTTCAATAATATGGGCCTACCACAGATCGCTCTTAGAGACTCAAAAGTTAATCAATTTGAGCATCTTTGACAAAGGTGGAATGAAGGAAAAAAGAAAAACATAAAAATAAGGTAAAAGCTTATACCTGTATAGCCAGCTCCCTCGTTGGACAGATGACAACAACGCCAGTTCCATTGCGATGGGTAAACTGAATATGATGTAACAACTCCACAGCGGGAATCAAAAAGGCAAGGGTTTTACCAGAGCCTGTCCTTGCAGCTCCAAGTACATCTTCGCCCTCGAGAAATGGTGGAATTGCTCTTGCTTGGATCTTCAAGTGTTCAAATCAGCAAATTGTGTGTCAGACAACTAAAATGAGCTTTAGAATTACACAAATTTATACAACAAAGGAATAGCCACAATAACTAACCAGGACAAAAATAAAAGAGGAAACAAGCATCCGAAATATCTTACCTCTATAAACCAAATCCCCAATCAAACAAGGGGAAACACAAAACAAAAGGCAGCCATGAATATATTTAAGTTGAAATCAAACACATGCCTAGGACTAAAGGTAAAGCATCAATAAGATAATTAACAACTCCTCATTAATACAAAAAAAAAGAAGAAGGAAGAACATTCAACAAATTAGAAATTACCTGAGTCATGTATTCAAATTTCATTTCATTGATAGCTTTCATAGTTTCCTCAGATAAAGGCAAGTTTGCAAACAACTCAGTACTCAAAATCCCTGACCCCTTTTTCACCACTTTCTTTACTTCCTCTACTTGTTTCTCCTCTTCTTCCTCCGCTTCATTGGTCTCTTCGTCTTCCTCAGATTTTTGTTCATTTTCTTTCTCCTCCTCAGTTTGAACCTCGTTTTCTTCTCTCTTTCTCTTCAACTTCTTCTTCCTCAACCTCTTCTTCCTCTTAATCTCCTCATCCATGGTTAATTGACTATGCTCGCCCGTTGTTGTGGTAATTGTTTTCAGCTGCCGGAGACGGCAAGACTGCGGTGAGAGGAGGTGTTTTCTGCCTTCTGGAAGTTTCTTTAGCGCCAACAGACCAACGCCGCCGCCGAAGGATTTTGAGGGAAGGGGTTTTAGGTTAAAACCTCAGTGCATTACATACGACGACGACGTAATATGTCGAACTATAAAAAGTTCTGTTGCCGGTGCGGGCTTCACTTTTTAAAAAATATCAATTTTGGTCCCTTCATTTAACTCTCTTTGTATAAGTTTCTTGAGCCTCTTCGTTTGGCTCTGTTTGTTTGCTTTTTTATGATTTTTTTAAATTATTTTAAACCTCCGTTTGATTAGATTGAATTACAATTAAATTAAAATTACAATACTATTGAATTGAAGATGAGATATAATATTATAATTTAATTTCAATTTTTTTGTTTGGGAGATCTTGAAAATTTACTAGAATTAAGGTTTTAATTCAAATTCTTGCGTTTGGATGCATAAAAAATTAGATACTTTAGAATTGAAATTAGTATGTTATTGTATAACTAATAATAGTACAATTTATACTTCTTGTCAAAAACTAAAATTAAAAAAAAAAAGCGCCTTAATTTATTATGGATATGTATAACACAAAAAAATAAATAAATCATTGTGTACATGTACATTTGACTACTTTGTGGTTTTTTAACTAATACAATTTTTACTTTTTTTGTTAAAACAAATTATTGTTTTTAATTAATTTGCTATATTAGTTTTGTAATTTATTATGTACACATTTTTGTTAGAAACAAAAGAATTATTGTGACTTAAAATTCTTGCTTAATACACAAATAAGTAAAATGTGAAACATCCTTGGTTTCATCTCTTATTATTTTTCAAAATTTTTAATTTTTGATGTTTTGATTTATATAAAAAAAATTAAAAAAATTTATTATAGAACATTGTAAATTTAGTTTATGAATATTAAGGTTTATTTATACATAGACTAAAATTAGTATATAATATATGCTTAAATTTTTTTATTTTTAGTATATAATTATATATGAATTAATACATACTTAAAACTCAACTTACATAATTTTTGGAGAAAAGATACCATGAATAGTTTAAAATATATATATATATATATATATGTGTATATATATTATACTATAGGTGTATATATGGAACAAATTTCTATAAAAAAATTTGAAAATGTTATATTGTTTACTATGTCATAATATAATAAAAATTTTAACCCAAAACTAAAATATTTAGTTAATAAATTTTTTTTTGGGTACAACTATATTTTTTTTTTGTAAAAAAATACAATGTTAATTTTAGTTTGATTTCGTTCATAATTATTAATTGATATAATAATAATAATAATAATAATAATAATAATAATAATAATAATAATGAGAGAAAGAGACCGAAAAAAATGAAAACCAAAGAAAAGAAGGAAGCGGCGAAGCGATGAAAGCCCCGAAAAAAATTTAAAATTAAAAAATTAAAAAAAAAAAGGCAAAAGGCAAAAATTGAGAAGGCGACCCGTTTAATTATAACCCGGAAACGACCCAGTTGTGACCCGCGTCTCCTTTTTAAGTCCCTTGAATTTGGATTCCAATTATTTGCTCCCACAAAAGAATTGAAAATAAAGAATTGAACCCCATCTTGAATTATAATTTTAATTCTTGGACCTCTACTTTTAGCAACTAAACACAAGAATTGGAATTGGAAAGCTCCAATTCCAATTCTTGGTCCCAATTCAATGCAACCAAATATAGCCTAATAATAACTGTCCCATCCTAGCATACTATTTTACATTTTCAATACACCTTTTTATATTTTCAATAGAAAAAATATCTAAAAACACACACTAAAAAAATGAAACAAACATGCCCTTAATGTCTTAAACCGACATTTACTCACTGGCTGGAAGTCCAAAAACTTCAATCAATAAAAAAGATTGTTGATGTGAGGTGTCATATCCTACATATTTTATTAAGCCATGACTTTAATAACTAGTTATTGATATTATATTGTTTAAGTCTTAGGGGTGAGTTATAGTGTATTAATCTTAATGTTAGAAGTATGTGTAGCTAAAGCGCTTCTAAGATTATAATAAAAGTAATTGGCAATTTTAACTATTTTATAATGAGGAGATAAAATAAAACATAAATAAATAAATAGAATGGAAGTGGAAATGAACAAATACATTAGTCTAATAAATGGACCAAGAGCTGGCCAACATCTACACAAACTAGTAAATGACTAACTAAGTCTACTAAGCTAGTTAAATAAAATAATAGGATAATTAGTAAAAAAAAGAAAAGAAAAGAAAGGGGGGCTGGGAAACGGGAAGGACAGAGCTTTAGGGGAGAAGAGAGTTGGAAGTGGAATAAGGAAAGAAACTCAAAATTGAGTTTGAGAACTAACGGGCAGCAACAAGCTTCAAGGGGTAAGTAATTTTTCACCCCTTTGCTCAATCATCTTGAAATTTCTATTGATAACTTACTGGAGGTTGTGTTTGGATTTAGTATAATTCTTAGATATGGAATTAGAATTATTAATGATTAACGGATTGAAGAATTATGAGAGACGAGTTAGGATTGACATTGGGCATGTTACTTTCATCTTTAGTTAGGAATTAATAACCAGATATTAATAAAGAGGTGGTGCTTTAATTTTCCTGATCTCCATTGTTTAGGAAAGGAGTACCTGCAGAATATTCTCTGTTTTATTGTTTATTACATGCATTGTTAACTTGAATAATTAGAAATGTTAAAGTTTAACTCCTAGGAGTACCGAATCGGAGTCCGTTCTTGAACCTAAACCCTGCATCCTAACCCTAAACCGCTTGTCTTTTGATGTCTGTTCTTGCTAAACGTTTACTTGATTTCATCCCTCATTTAATTAGTGTGATGGTTCTTCTTGTGGTTGTTTAACTGGAGTAGTGATAATCTCAAAAAGAAAGTCTATTTATACCCGATCTGAGTACTTTTGCAGAGCCTCGTTCTGCTAGCTCTAGAAACGTTTTGAAGGATTTTTTTTCATAAATCTCTTCTCCATTCAATTACATTACACTACAAAAAACGAAAGCTATTACAAAAACTCAAAATTCAATTATGGGCCCAAATCTTGATTTTATTTCTCAATTTCCTTTACTGGGCATACAATCACAATAGTACGTAAAATTTCTAAATAATAAGTAAAGATACCGCGGGCCCTCACCAAGTTCCAAGGAATTTACTACGTAAAATTTACCAACTTTTGCTTTTGTTTAATCCTTTTCTACTGAATTTATATATATTTCAAATTCACAATTCGAACCTTGATTCCAATTTCGACCTTTTCCAAACAGATTTATTGAGATCATATAGTTATTTAAATTTTATTGAGGAGATATAACATTAAATCGTTTATTATAAAAGACTGTAGCTATTTTTTATTCGTTTATTATAAGTAAGAAAATATTCAAATAAAAAAAAAGAAATGATAAGAAACATATTTTTGGTTGCACATAATAAAAATTATTTTATTATAGTTACGAGAATTAATACTTCGTACGAGTGCTAAATAGTTTTTTTTAGTCTTTTTTTTTTTACATATCCATTTTGGAATTCAAGAGTTGCATGCGATTTTCATCAATGAATCTTCTAACGTTAATAAAAATTGGATGATTCATTATAATTTTTCTATATGATATAATGGTAGTAAAAGTTAGTGATATGATGAAAAAACAAAGCGTAGAGATCAAGAGGGAGATAATTTTCTAAAATGAGAAAAAGAATAAAAGTCTTTATCAGAGACAAACAGTAGAAGAAAAGTATATTTGGAAATTGAAAATAATTATAAGGAGGAAAAAATTTATGTAGAGAATAATAAAATATGAAAAAAGACAGATAATAGTGAAAATTTTTTGTTAGAGGGAAAACTTAAAAAATATGTTTAAAAAATATGAGTGACTGGGTAGAAATATTTAGAGGAACCAGTAAAAAAAATGAGAATACTTTTAAAATATATAAAACCATAAATCAACAAAACAAAAAAGATGAACAATAAGTTACATTTTATAATTTCTAATACTGAAAATTATTCCAAATAAACTTATAATTAATAACACAACACGTTGACATGAAAAGTTACACCATAGCAATTTTTATCATTGATATAACTTTTTTACATATATCACTCGTCGGAAATGTCATATAATCCCCAAATCATTAAACTTATATATATCTTGAACAATCCGCTCAGTGTGCCGGGTAAATACTTATAATAACAATAATAATAATAATAATAATTAGACAAAAAGGCCCAAAAAAGAAAAAAATCAAAAAGAAAAGAAACATGCACGGAAAGTGCTGAAAGAAAAAAAGAAAAAAGAAAAAAAAGAAGCGCTTCGGCGCTGAATAAAAAAATTTTAAAAAAATAAAACTGAAATATTAGAAAAAACCAAGGCCAAAAGGCAAAAATGAGAGGGCGACCCGTTTAGGTTATAACCAGAAACGACCCGATTTAGACCTGCAGATTTTTTTTAAGTCCTTTCAATTTGAATTTCAATTATTTGCTCCCACAAAAGAATTGAAAACAAGGAATTAAACCCCAAATAGTATTGTAATTCCAATTCTTGAACTTCTATTTTTATCAACCGAACACAAGAATTGAAATTAGAGAGCTCCAATTCTAATTCTTGGTCTCATTTCAGTGCAACCAAACTGAGCCTTAGAGCTTCTCATTAGCCAATGGCTTCCTCAATCCTAATAGAGGTTAGTACGTATTCCCTCTGTCCCAAAATTATGTCCAGTTTGTACTTTCATTTTAGTTCAATTTGTACTAAAAATGAAATCCAAAACCGGACAATAATTTTGAGACGGAGGAAGTACTTGATTGTCTTGCACTCCAGTTCTCTTTTGTTTTTCTAATATGTATTCTCACAATTTTGAAAATAAACTTAGGCATATTTCACGAGTCTCTATCTAGTATACCCGGGGGCACCATACTCCCCTCCTATTTTTTACACTACTAGTCCTTACTATACTTTTTTCCACTTTTCTAAATAACATCCTACAATTTACAGATTTAGTCCATTTGATTTTTTTTCCTCTCTCCTTTAAAAAACATCTCTAATATTTAAACGACCATATAGCTCAATCCGTGAAGAATTAGAAAACATGTCGTGCATGA